AAAGACCCAGGTTCAATTCCAAGCCTATACACTATGTACAGCCAACATCCATCCATCAGTGGAAACTTGGGTGTTATTAAGATATTAAACTGCTTTCAGTGGGGCTACCCGACTGAGAGAGACTAGGAAGAAAGACCTGGTGATCGATCTACTTCTGTTTTCCCCTTCTCTGTGAGGCTGCTGTGACGGTGCTAATGGCTGCAGGACCTTTCTCTTCTAGAAGAAATAGGGTTGCTGGCCCTGGCTTCCAACGATGTCTTTGAACTCATATCCGCTTCAGAAGACAAGAGGGCCATGTGAATTTTTCAAGCAGTTAGAACAGCGGTTCTCAACCTGTGGGTCGCGATCTCTCTGGGCGTTGAACGACCCTTTCACAGGGTCGCCCGATTCATCACAGTAGCAAAATTACAGTAATAAAGTAGCAACAAAAATAATTTTATGGTTTGGGGGGGTCACCACAACATGAGGAACTGTATTAAAGGGCTTCGGCATTAGGAAGGTTGAGAACCACTGATTTAGAGAAATTAAGAACATTGGGGGAAGCCAGCTATTTCGACGCCAATTTATTGGGCATTATAATGTATTCTTGCTGAAATTCTGAGCACCCTGGTTTGCAAAAGGCTGTGGATGGCTGAGACAGCCCAGAATCCTTTGGCAGGGCCCCAATTAGATTAAGCCTCTGTTCCCTAAACAAAGATGTAGGGAATCTCTCCTCCGGGCAATGCCTTGGAGAGTGGAGTGTCTCCACCTCTCTGGCCTGTCCTGGGAGAGGAAGTCTCTTAGGGTCTTGCCTATGTGTGACCCTAATGGAGGTCACCATACTAGGGACGATAAAGGACTCACATAGTCATGACCTCACCCTGACAGCCTTGGCCGGAAGGTCCAGGACCGATCTTGAAAGCCCTTCTATCTAACACTATACATGTCCCATCCCTGTTCTGTTGTCCCCTTGTCACTGTGATGGACCAAGCTGCCACCAGTCATGCTTTTGGGACAGTTTCCTTTTCCCAGCCAGGTCCCTAAGCTCCATATCTCGTTCAAGATTTGGCACCAGAGCTTTGGGGATCTCTCTGTACCCCCAGAGGATAACTTCTCCTGCTGTATTTCCACAGCAGTGTATTTACTGCACTTTTCTGCTCAATGTCCCTTTTGACCTCATATTATAATGATTTCTTTATTCTTTCAACGAACGTGTTACTGTAGATGTCTTGTTTCCCCTACAGGACAGAGAGTGCCCTGAGGGCCGAGTCTGTCTAATCCAGCTAGGCCTATGCTCTGTAGCACTCCCCTTCATGTGATACTGAAAAACAAAACAAAAGTGTTGCTGTGTGTGAGGCTAGAAAGGCAAGGATGGGATTCACCCAGAGCAGTCTCCTCTCCCACTGCCCATGCACATACCTGCTTTCCAGGCTCGCTGTATAATAGAAGTTAGTGGTGGCCGAGCGGGGTCAAAGCCACATTTCCCCAACTGCTAACTTCTCTCTCTGACCTACACACAAAACTTGTTGTAGGGGTTGAGCTGGCTTTGCCTTACTCTGATTTCCCCAAATCCCCAGCCTGTCCTTGAGAGTCAAGACCCTTCTCCAAGAAAGCAAAATGTCCCAAAACAAAGCCCAAACCCACTGTGGCTGGCAGTGCCGACACATAGCCTCTCTCTCTCTCTAGGGACAGAGCAGCTCTATAGGGTCTCTCAGGCTGTCAATCTTTGTAGAAGCAGATTCTCTCCTCCTGCTCCTGCAGAGTGGCTGGTGGGTTCAAACTAACAACTCTTTGGTGAGCAGCCAGGCACTTTAACCACTGTGCCACCAGGGACCCTTGAAACAGACGGACAGATCTGAATGGGAATTTTAAATATCCACATCGCCAGGAGAAACGATGCTGCTCATTTTTAAAAGGCACCACACTTAGATATCGTACTTGTTTTATTGTTTTTTAAATCGAAATTGTAACAAAAGTTTGGAATGAGAACTCTAAGAAATAGATAAGGTGAAAGTCATTTCTTTTTTAAACTCCCATCCCCATGTCACAAAGGGGACCATTGTTGGCCGAGAGGATAAACATCGCACTAAAGTAAATTCAAGGTAAAAAATAGGGAAATGTCCAGCAGAGGGATTTAAATATTTTAACAACCAGTTTGCAGCCTTAACGACCACTGTAAGTGTAAAAATCAAACTGGTGCAAACGGACTGAATCCCACTACTGGAATAGCTATCCATCTCTGTGGTTGTCAGCTTCGAGTCCCCCACTTAGGGAAACCCGTGCTTAACGATATCGGACTTACGGAAACCCATGCATAACGATATCGGACTTATGGAAACCCATGCATAATGAGATCAGACATATGGAAAGCCGTGCATAATGAAATCGGACTGTTGTAATCCTCGAGGGGTTTCATTGGCTGACTTTTTGGCCAGGTTTTTCCCCCTAGTCTGCCTTAATCTGGAAGCTCCAGGCAGCCTGTTCAGCATCGTAGAAAGAATTGGGCCTAGGTGTGCACAGAAGATGAGAATTTTACTACTAACGAGCCACTGCCCTGTAAGGAGCTTTCAGTGGCATAGTGGTTACTTGTTGGGCTGCTACCCAAACCACCAGCTGCTTGTCGGGAGAAAGACAGGATTTCTACTCCAGGAGAGCACTACCATCCTGGAAACCCACCAGGGCAGTTCTACTCTGCCAACCCCATGGCAGTGAGTTTTCGTTTTCAGCCACTGTTCTATTTCTTTCAACAACCCTTTTTAAGTTGGAAACTAAAAGTTAGACCCTCATCCGTT